GATTGACAACCCAGTTCTTTGATTAATCAAAATTCTGTTTATCCTGACTAATAAAGCTAAGGATTGAAGTAGCAATGAACACCTCACTAACTTCCGGAATCCCATGCTTGAACTAATTTCTATGATTCCAAACAAACCAAATAATAGTAAAATACAACTTTACCATCTCCATATTCCAATCTTTGAGCCTTTGAAGACTAGCCCAGCAGTCATCCGATCAACTGAAAATGGAAACCTGGAATCCCCATCCTCTCAACATATACAGCACCTTCTTGAGTTTAAAGCAGCTGGATGAAATATGATTGATATCCTCCACAATTCCACATCCCATAGGGCAAAAAGAATCATCAGAAATTTTCCTCCTGAACAAGAAAGCACCCAAAGGAAGAGCATCCATAAACATCCTCCAAATAAAGACTTCCAATCTTGCATTTAAACTCAGTTTATAAACCCATCTTAATGGAATCACATCTTCTAGGTTTTTGAAGTTATCTTTCATAGTTACAGCAGATAAAGACTTACCAGACATCTTATGTTTCAATTCCATACAATCCTTATGCCAACATGGATCAATCTTAACTTCACAAATGAGATTAATAAGTTATGTCCCAAAGAACATAAAAAGTTTTTCACGGTCCCAGCAGCCATCTCAAATGAAATAATCCAGAGAAACATTCTCATCCTCAAAATAACCCACAAATGTTGGCCATTTGAGTAAGGACTTATCAAGAATCCAAATATCCTTCAGCACTTTAATATTAGAACCATCACCAATTCTCCATCTAACATGATCCTTGAGTGCATTCCATTCAGAGAACATGATCTTCCATGTAGAGGAACTACTCCTACTCAGCCCATAGATCCACCAATTAACACCATGTTTAGCAATAAGATGTCTGCTCAACAGTGACTCCTGTTTATCAATCAATTTCTAAGCAAACTTAGCTCTCATGACATTCCTTCTAGCCACAACAGAATGTACATCCCAACCACCAAACTATTTTGGCTTACAAATTTGTTCCCATGCTACATAATGAATACCCCTCTTGTTGCGGATCAATGATTTATTATTTTGATGATAGAAAACATTCTTATTTCTATACAACTACCTTATGTACTGACATTTCAAGTCCACACGATCAGACTGCAATTTGGAACCAGCTCAAGATTTGGTAGACTAGGTCTGAGTCAGTTTGCACTCTTGTCCTTTCTTGAGTCTGTTGTATTGGTGTGGTACCGAATGATTTGTAAACTTGGAAGATGTTCTGTTATACCCTAAAGATTTCTATTTTTGGTAACATCAT